TAAAATATATTTTTATTTCATGGACATCAACAGTTAGGTGAAGGTAACATGTCTGAAGACTAAAACATGATTTTAACAAAGAAGTTTTAGCTTAAACTTCGTTCTGCACACCTGATTATCACTAAGGTTGTTAGGTCATATCTCCCACTGATCATGTGTGACATGACAGAGTGATATGAGTGACGCAGAAAGGATTTCACTCAGAATTGTGAAAGGGGACTCAGACTTAGTGCTGTCAGGAGACGAGGTAGAGAAGGGCCAGACAGCAAAACAGGAAAGCTCAGAGGAGGGAATACTAACTTTTGAGGAAATGACTATACCTGAAGTTTATTACTGATACGAAGTGTTGTGTATGTTAGGCTGAAGTTGTGGGATTTGGTTTCTCTGGCACAAAGTGGAGAACAGGACATCTCCTCAGCTACTGATGTAGCACTGATGTAGTCCTGTTGCAGTCCGTTTAAGAGAGGTCTCACCTTCCAGAGGGCATTATTGTTTTCCCCTCAGAGCCAACCTTTAATGTACTTTTAGCAAATGTATTACTAATGACAGAAATCAAAAAAAGTTTTTAATGTAAGCTAAATTTTAGCTCATTATGCATTCTACATTTATGTGTGTGTGTGTGTGTGTGTGTGTTTGTGTGTGTGTGTGTGTGTGTGTGTGTTTAGTGTACACATTGTAATCCCAAAAAGCTTTAAAGCCCTGGGTTACAAATTGCTTCTTACCCATAACGGTGCTGTCACTTTTTCTCTGCTCAGGCTCTGCAATAACTTGTACAGCCTCCTCTGCACTTTCACCATCTTGCTCTAATTCCTACCCTCCTCCACTTCCTCTTCTGACTACAATAGGTCTGATTCTCCTTCTACAATTCTGAGCAAAATCCTTTCTACCTCACTCTTTCCTCAGCTTCCTGAAGGAGGGACGTAGGTTGACACCAAGAGTTAGCAAGTCATTTATCCACGTACACTGCCAAGGACACGGAATACCCTTTGTTTTAAAAGGGTAAAACTGATGTATATTTCTGAAATCCTACTAAACTTAATTAACGCACCCCATATCGAAGAAACAATCTGATATGATTTTAGAAAATATGTGATCTGTTAGCCCAACCCTCAGATAGGATGCATCACTACAAAGCCCACAATGTCCTCTTGCCAGTGCAGTAGGACTCATGTAGGGTGCATACTTTGTGCTTGATGCAGAGGCCTCAGACTGATTTCACTCACAAAGCACAAGAATGAATTGCTGCGACTTTAGAAGTTAATGTTTATTTGATGGAAAATTACTAAATGCACAGCTCTGTTTGTGTGTGTGTGTGTGTGTGTGTGTGTGTGTGTGTGTGTGTGTGTGTGTGTGTATGTGTGTGTGTGTGTGTGTTAGATTAGCCTTTATTGTCTCCTTTAGGGGAAAATTGCCTTGGACAAATGAGGAAAACACATCATGTAAGATAACAGTTTGATACCCTGTACCTTTTTCTTGAGGGTTTCAACTCATACTCTTTATAAAGGATGTGATTTATACCCTCAGTGATTTTCAGACAATGTTTTATTAATGACTCTTCAAATATCACCTGGAGAGAAGATGAAGTGAGCATCCCAGTTATCATTAGCATATCCAGTTATTATTATTTAAGTATCCCAGTGCTGCTCTTTTTAGAACAAATCGCCCCAAGCATCTTGAAATTTACACACTAGCAAAAAAAGGTTATGAAATTCAACCTTGGTGCCACAGTGTTTGTTTAATGGAGCTTATCAAAGGTGAGACAGCGGTCAGCTGTTTTCTAAGAATGCAGAAACAGAGGTGTGCATAGAGAAGTAATTCTAGCATAAAAAGAAAGCATACCAAATGAAAGAAAATATGTGTAGCAGTACTGTGGGTAATGCTGCTATCTGGAGTAACTTTATAGTGATAAGGTTGTGACATTGTAATGATAATCTGTATAGGTGATAATGGTGGGTGAGAAGAAGTTGCTACTATTCATCATGATGATAACAGCATAGGCCGTAAGTCCGGATAACATAGGTAATGATCGTAGTATTACGCAATCTGCTTCATATCATATCAAATAATTGGAGGAAATATCAGGGCTGAATATGCTGAGTGTGGCCAGGGTTTGTTTTGACTAATGGTAATGTATTAGATCTGCTGACCTGAAAGAGTCTCCAAAATGTTACCAAAAATAAAGACAAACAATGTAAAAGTCAGGTGTTTTACACTTGCCATAGGTGATGAGGAGCAGGACAAAGGCTTTATTCTTCACCAGGTTGAGGATGGACTGTTTGTAAGAGTAATCTTCAGGAGGGGAGTCTGGTAAGACAGCCTGTGCTTGACTGGGAGGGAGAGGAGGTCTGTCTTTTATGACTGTGGAAAAGGCAGAAACAGTGAAGTCATGGACCTTTTATGTGAGAAGAAAATAAATCAGAGCCTCTGTGAGCATACAAGAACCAGAAAAGTTAGGAAATTATTGATATGTGGTATCAAATGTAAATAATACACATCTGCGTACATACAGCCCACATTTTGAATTATAAACTATTTATTTAGATTATTTTTGACTCAATTCAAGTATGAGGTTAAATCAGAGATTTGTTATAGAGTCTGAGGTAGTTTCAGGAAGTCAGCTGCCAAAACCAGGAGTTCCTGAAATTACTGCAATGGAACTTTGATAATATGTCAACTCTTGATTGGCTCGTTTTAAACCAGCTGCAGTTTCAACACTGTGTGTTTACATACGGTGTCATAGATATTTAAAGACACCTACTATTAACCCCACTTTACAGAATGATGCAGAGTCTTAATCTCAAACCCAATTCATGATCCTGAACTGGATGCTTAGTGTTTTTTAGAATATTTACAATAATCTTAGTCTCAAGAAGACAACCTGGCCCTTAGATGCACAAAAGCATACTTGCACACCTGTGTACCTGGAAGCAGAGGTGTGCCAGTGTTCTTTGTACCTGCAGGCCTCTGTACACATGTACACAACAGAAGTCTGAGTTTGAGCACCACTCCCTGGCAACTGAAACATTTGGCAGTACCAAGAAAACGTATGCTGCTTTGCATAATGTAAGCCAGCGTGCGACTGTGTGATATTAAATGTGTACCTATCACTGCCAGGACGAAGAGGACCGTGGAGACGGCAGCTGTACCGTAGAACATAATCATGATGTTGTGACCTGTGAGTTCAACATTATCAGGGGTGTTAGGAACCAAAACAGGAGGCAACAAGAAGCCAATGGCTGTCCCCAACTACAAATAAAAGGCACAGGAAGAGAGAGAAGAAGAGATTATTTACTTACACAAATATTACTATTGCTAAACTGAGCATATAAAGAGCTGATAATCTGGTGATGATAGTGTTGTCCATTAGTTGGCTGTGGCTAAGAAATTATTTTTCATCTACTATAGGCCTATTCTTAGGTTTTATTAGTCCTAGTATGTTCCACTGGTCCCTAGTTTTTCTAATTTCTCTATTTCTAGTAATGAAAATGTTGGAATTTAGACTGTTCGTTCGTGGGTACAATGATTTTTGGGGGGTCAATAATTGTCAGTGAGTTCTTGGCTGTTATTATTGTATTTGTTGTTCATTTGCTGTAAAAACTTTGAATGATCACTAAAATAGAATCACGTCTCTATTCCCCCCTGACTCGGTCTGCTCACTAAACTCCACACAAACCTAACCTATCAATAATCTGTGACACGCGCACGCGCTGACCTGATTTCCGAGCACTGCCGTGGCGCACGCAGTGGAAACCTCTCGGGGTCCGAACCACACCGAAGCCACGCGGGAAGGCAGGCCGAGGATGAACACCTGCGCCACGGAGCAGATGACCTGCGCGGTGACGGTGACTGCGAACAGCTGGGGGTTCACGCTCGCGCATTTCAGCCAGGCGCCGGCGCAGTTGAGGCCGGCGCCCAGCAGGGCCGTTAAGCGCAGACCCTTTCGGTCCAGCAGCCAGGTGGCGGGGAAGATGAGCGGCACGTAGGCTACCATGTAGACGATGGAGAGCCAGTCCACCTTGTCGTTGGTCACCCCGTAGTACTGCGTGAACACGTTGGTGATAATGCTGTACTGGATCCACTGGAAGGCGTTCACGAGGGAGTACAGGCTGAAAACGGCCAGCACGGCGAACCGGCGGGCGTACACCCTGGTCTCCAGCCTTTTCTCTTCCTCCTCCTCGCCTTCTCCTCCTCCTCCTCCGTTAGGTAGCATCACCTCTCTTTCATCAGGCGGAGCTTCCTTGTCCTCCTCCAGCTCCTGCGCGCGCTTTGAGATTGTCTCCCCGGCCCCGCCTGCGTGCACCGCTTCGTTTGGCCGTTCCTCGTCCTCTGGCTCCTTCCTGCCGACCGTGATGTCGTCAGGTGCGCCGGTACCCGCGCGCAGATGCTCCTGCACGAGCTCACCGGCGACCATGATGCGTGTTCGCAGCCTTTTGCTCTTTTTGCGCGATGCTGAGTCCAGAGATGATCGACTGAGGCGAGCTGAGCAGGAAACAGAGAGGTTTCCTCATTTGGTTACCGGTGAAAAAGAAGGCTGAGCTGCAGATGACTGAAATATGAACAACTGCTGACTACATATCCTTAAATATGAAAATACTCGAACACTCAACACTCCTTAGAAAACAATACCCGGCTTCTGTCAAACAGCGTGCTGCTCCCGGTCTGACACACTTGATTCTCTCTCTCTCTCTCTCCCTGTCTGGTGGTTTCAATACGTCTCTCTACCTTTTAAGCCGACTCTGACACAAAGCCTTTCGATAACGATGAGCCAATAGCAGAGCAGCATGAGCTCGTAGTAGTATCTAGTAGTGCTGCCTTTCTGGGCGTATGTGTGAATGGTAACCGTGGAAGCTCTGATGCACACGTAAAGAAAAGTCTCTGCTAGGAAGTCAAAACGAGTCAGTTTCGTCACTAAATCATCTTCTCTTTAATCTGCTTTCTAATACCAAAAAAGTAACGCGAGATCATTTAAATGTTTGTGGATGTTAGACTGTTTCTAATTTCTACCAAATTAGATGAGTGAGTTATTTTCATGTAATCTGTGCTTCTTGTGAGATCTCTCGGTACCATAGTCAGCGGCTCCTAGAAACACGGCCTTAAACTGTCAGACTCTCCCGTGGAAACAGCTCAGTTTGGGAGCAATAGACACACCCTCTACTTTTAGAGCCCTGCTTTAAACAAAGTAGAGGCTGCTTTGTTTAAAGCAGGGCTGGAGCAGGCACGCTTGACTCACCTGATATTTATGCTGTTGTATGCCCAGGGTGCTGGGAGACTTCCCATGATGCACTAAGCATTTCCTTCTTTTTCTTTTTACTCCTGCTGCTAATATGCCACTACTCTATGCAACTAATGTTTGGCCACTCTCTCGTGGATTTTATGTTTACACTGTCTACACTCCTCTTTCTTTGGTCACAACAGATGGTTGTGCCTCCCTGAGCCTATGGGAGACGTGGATAAAACAGTGTTCTTCCTCACCACAGTCGCCAAGCCCTACCTTAATGGGGATTATCAGATTGCAGGGGTTCTTCCTCTAATACTGTAAATGGTATACAAGTAAAGATGAACAGAACTGATAGAAAAAATATAAAACTAATCAGTGTTCCTTTAGTCTGTAGCTACGCTGCCTGTTCCATATACTCAAAGTAGCCTGTCCATATGCTGAGCATTATCTGCTCTAATCCTAGTGTGACCCAGTGAGACTGGATGCCGCAGCAAGTCTGATCCTACAGGTGATTCACACCTACAGTAAAATCTACACGCATCTGATCTCTTTACTGGACTTTAAAATGCAAAGCAAGCAACATTTCACAGCCCTTTCTGTGTTTCTTTTCCAATGAATGGCAGTGCAGTGTTGTTTGACTTCACTGAACAATGTGTAAATATTCAGCTTGCAATCATTTATAAATCTCCAGCTTGTAAATATCCCAGTTATTATTATTAGGTTCTTTCTCAGTGGGCTTAATCAAACTTCTGTCCACTCCGGACGTCACAACTACGTTAATTATACACAGTGGTTGGTTTTATTTATTTTGTTTTTATGCAGCTGGCTTTACAGGTTCTGCAGACTGTAGAATACCTGAGGTTGAATTTCGTACAAGGCTTGTTTTCTCATGTATCAGTGTTTTATGAAAGCCTGACAACTAAAGAATAAAACAAAACCAAAGGAAACTAAGATCACACCTCGACTAAATTTGAAATTTAATATCTGATGTGGGATTCTTACTCCACATTCTAGTAATCTCGAGGCGAGGGATGTTCTACTTTCGCTCGCACAGAGTGGCTCATCTCCCTTAATAAATTATCTTTGAGACCCCTCTTCCGGTTTCTTGTTGCCCAGGTAACTAGTGCATTCTCACAGCTTACCTTTGGATAATTTATGAAAGGAAATCTAGTCCACATTAATACTTCCTACAAAGATAAAAAGTAATGTCCGGGTATGAGGATCGGGCTCTGCTGGAGCTGAATCAGAGCAGGGAGACGTGGTGTCAGGTGGAGATGAACCCCCGGCAGGGCTGGGAGAGATCACAGAGGAGACATTACCGGAGTCACTTGAAGTCCAGCTCGGTTCTCCTTACAGCTCTGACCGGCGGACCGCAGCGCAGAGAGGCCTGCACCCAGCGGCCTGCCCCCATCAAGCTCCCGGAGAGAAGGCACTTCGAGGAGGGCTGTAAGAAGGCTTCTCTGAAGATTTTACAGAAATGTTTCTGTAGATCTGATATGGACACGAGAAACTGTGTGTCTGTCCCAAATACTTTAAAGATATTAATATTTAATTAGGTAATTAAATTCTAAAAGGCTGAAAGATTCAATATTTTAAAACTACAGCAAACCTGTATCCACAGTTTAGTTTATCAAAGAATCCCACTTTCCAGATATTCCAATTTCCCGTATTACGTTATTAAAGATGAAATTTGTTTAGTACCTTCATTTGCTCCACAGTACAGAGAAATGAAATGAAATGTTAGTAATGAGAGATAGTTTGCACACATGCCATTACATTAGGACCCTACAGGTCACCTGTTTTATGACTGCTGTTGTCAAACATGTGGCCCACATGTTTTTGCTGACAGACCCAGCCTCAGTAGGTCCTTTCCACCTCATTGGATGGTTTTGCAGAAAAGGAGAGCATGGCTGTTTAACGTGCTAAATCTGAGCCTCAACCCTGAATCATGGTCAGTTTCTCAGTCTTCTCATTAAAAGATTTTACCCACAATGTGTCATACAACACCTTACTAATCTACTTACACCTAGGAGCCACGCTGATGCCTTTCTCTAACAGTAGACGGGAAAAGTAAAAAACGAGGCGTATTATTATTAGCTTGATGTTAAAAACTTGATGCAGTGGTCTTACCAGTCCAGTCTACTTAAGGTTAAATTGATGGTATGTGGCCCACAAAGTAAAATGAGTTTCACATCACTTACCCAGGCAATCATCTAATGCAAATTTACCACTTGTACTGTAGTTAACTGGCTTAAAGTTTAAAATCTGTAGTGCACCACTTAATTGCTGCATGTCTTGATCAGGCTGACATAAACATATTTATCAAAAACATGAGGTGGAACTATGCTGTATCAATGATTTATGGAGGAAAACAAAACTGATGCTATTCTTCTTGCTTTTATTTAACTGAAATTCTACTTAAGTATTGTTTTGTTAATGTTCAATAGAACTTGTTTGAAAAACAAGTTTGAGAACAGCCGTATTATTTGATTTTCTATAAAGTGATCAAAAAGAAAATGAGCAGCTGTTGACTCCTGAGATCTGTCTCTTCTCTTCCAGATAAAACTCACCTGGTCTAGAGAGCTGCAGCCTTAGAAGATGACCTGAGCTCATACTGCAGATACACCAGAGACCCAGACGTGGGGCAACTTTCAATATTTTATTTTCACAACTAATATATGACGTGATACAAAACCCCAAATACGCTGGAGATCATGGCACATGAGGTCTTAAAAGATTTGATTGTACTTGTTATTGACAGTACCGAAATTAAAAACTCATTTTTAAAAAATAATTTCCATGCATCACTCGCTTTGGTCAAGAAAGACACATCTCATTAATTATTAAAATCATCTGCAAGACTTTGCAAAAAGCTTCTAGCTTGTGTGAAACTTAAAAAAACCCTCAAAAGTAAAGAAAAACCTTTCTGATATTCAAACGTTAGCAGTGTTCATCACGTGTTTAAAAAAGTTCACAGCCTCGCAGTGAAACATTGAGAGGCGGACAGTAGTAATAGGGCATCGTCACTGATCTCTAGAATCGATTAGATTCCGATTCACAAGGTCCTGAATCGATTCGATTCAATTCGATTCGAATCTGGGAAATTTTGCCTCAGACAGTCAGAAATATTATATATAGGTGTGAGCATCAGAGCAGATGCCTTTGTGTCAAAGTAGCTGAAGATAAAACACAGAAAAACATGAAGGTGATTTTCCTGGCCTGGGATTTTATAAAAATATGCTGCAGTAGATCAAAAACGAAAGAAAAACATTAATCAACATATGAACATTACCTCTGAAGTTACAGAGGTTTTATTAGAGACACGGCTAAGCGTTTTGCATAATTTAAAAAGTTTAAATTTGTTCAGAAGCCTATCTGAACGGCAGAAATTACGTTTTCTTTTTGGAAGTAATTAAAGGGGGGGAAACAGCGGCCGACAGCGCTGTAAACAACGGTAGACTTGTGCGTAACAAGCAAGCGAATAATGCAGAAAACAGTACAGAGAGAGAGAGAGAGCTGTGCATGAAGTGTGATTTTATCGTGGTGGAAGCAAAACGGCAAAAGTCAGAGTGAATTCATGACACTGTTTATGTGAAGCGTTTGGATCTTCTTTTGCTGCTGGTTCAGTCAATATATTTGGAGAGAGATAAAACTAACAGCTTTAGAATCAGCGCAAAAAGGGCGTAAACACAAAGCGCGACCGCTTTCAGCCCCGAACGTGTCCGTGCCGTCGGGTGAGAAAGGCGACATCTCACTGATTCGTCAGCAGGTCCGCGCTTTGTGTTTACGTCTTTGTGCAGAATCCGTGTTCCTGCTCGCATTTATTGTTTTAGCTGTTTGGTGGTTGTTGAAATTTTGTGAGGTTTAACCTGAGATTCTGGTGTTTTGGGCAAAATAAATTTATATTAAAAAATTGATTCACCCCTAAGTAGTAAAGGGAGTTATCTTTTCCATGACGTCACACACTGGGTGAGCCTTGGATTTCGAAATCACGCTCATGTCACTGTCAGCGTGTTTTAGCTTTGGGGAAGAGTCTGTATGCATTGTGTGCGGTGACCAGCCGAACAGTTTCTGGAGGGAGACCTTTGACATCGGCGATGTAGCGACATGGCAGGATGATGTTAGCGGGCTCATTCCTCACCTGGCAGACAAAAGACAGATTAAACATGTCTGCACTTGTGGCGCTGTGTCTCAATATGATGATGACTTTAAAGCCTTTAAAACTTACATGCTGGTGAAGCCCGAGGGCAGGAGAGTCGGTCTCAAGACAAATGTGCTCCAATGGGATCTGCTTGATTAACTTGTCTCTCTGTGTGGCGGTACTAAAACTGTTTATTCAGGTGACTCAGCAAAAAATGTTAAAAAATGTTTTTCCACAGGACGACATTTTTCATCTCACCTGTTTGCTTCTGCAGACGGCGGGGGGAAAAGAGAAGAGGTAGCCCGCCTTCACACCTTCCAGAGCGACCGATGGCTTCCCCGCAAAGTTATGAAGCAGAGCTCGGCTGATGCCTGACAGAAAAACAGAACATGAGATAACGTTCAGATGTCTGCACGGTTCGCTGGAATCTAACACTCACCTTGTTCCTTCATGGTCTCAATCGTGACCCTAGCAGCTGATCTGGAGTGGATGTTCCTGAACAGAAATTCACAATCGACACGTTACACAGACTTCTATGTGGATTAAAAACCTTCACTTAGCGACTTGTGCATGCTCGGCAAACTGACTGTTTGATTATTTCTGGGAAACACAGGCTCGGGGTAAAAAGCTCAATGTGAGCTTCATATTTTTATTCTTGGACTCTGCATGATTTGTTCATTCATGTTTACACTGAGTCTTGATGCACTAGGACTTCTTTAAGCTATAAGATCTTGTTTGGTCCTAAAATGTGTTAAATGAAATCCGTCATTTAAAAGTTCAAACACTTTAGAAGTTCAAACCTTAAAGCAATGAAACAATGGAATTCAACACAGTGGAGTACACAAATATAAACCCTGTGTTATATTTGTGAAAAGGGAAAGAACTTGAATTTGAACTCTAACAACAGCTATTTTAATTAGTCCTCACACAGGTAAGTCCAGCTCCTTGGCGATGCTGAGCTGTTTGATGAAGACGGTCACTTGGTCATCTCTGTCCTGCTGAGTCGGGGCGCACCAGGGAGTGAAGTCTAAACCAATCTGAAAAATTAAAAGAAGGCTGTTATGGCCCTAGCAGGGCCTCCTGTGAAATTGAACTTGTGTGGGTGTGTCCTGCTCTCTCCTACCGTAGGTGCCACCCTTTTTGCACAGCTGACTCTAATCAGCAATTAGGACCAGAGACAGGTGAGGTCTAGTGCCAAAGAGCCTTGTTGGGTTTTGTAGGTGGCCTGCTCTGTGGAGAGGAGTGTGTTTCGGTGACTAACCCTTTTTTGACTTACTTTTCAGTTTATTGACCAACTACTGGGTTTTGTCGTTTTCCTTCTTTAAAATGTGATAGGGCTTGTCCGTCTCTTTTAGTTGAATTACTAATAAAAACATTAATAAAACCCTTTAATTTAACCATTTTGCCTCCCACGTCTCCTTTAGATATTTCCCTCATCCCCTGGACCCTTTAAGAGTACGTAAAAGTTTGGGGCTGATCCGGGATTTGAAAGTAGGACCTTACACACCCCAAGCCCAAATCGTAAAAAATAAATACATTTTTTTTTAATCAGTCATCCCATCCCAGACTACTATTAATGTAGGAAAAGTTTTAGAAGACCAGAATCACTTTGCATTTCTTTTTCACTATGATCGTTCCAAATTTTAAGTCGTTTTTAGAACAAATTTAATCAAAATTTCATTTCCTGAAAAGGTACACTCAGACTAGCATCTTAATGCTCACCATTAACTTGACATAAACATTTAACGCACTGATCTACAAGTTCAGTATTCAAAGGGTTTATGCATGCTACGGTAGAAACTAAACCTTGGGCTCAGGTTCGCTCTTTAAACTCTCAACTTTGATCTATGTCAGTGAATCGTTACTGATTAAGTTTCATAAGAGAAGAAACATAAGAAATTTCTATAAGAAACAGAAATGAGGCGCACCAAATGCTACATTGGATTTGTGTGTGCCACCTTAAAAACTGACACCTGCTCTGGTGCATGAGCCTCTGGCAAGGAAGAGGTTTAAGTTGCCATCTCTCAAGTGAGTCAGTTCTCACAGAGCTTATGTCCAAATGAAGTCGAGTCAAACTGGTTTGATTGCTCAACCTAAAACCACAAAGTACCCGCAACCACTCAAGCATCCGCAGATTAAAGAAAAAACTGCCAGACCAGATATGAGGGAAAAGGTTACAGATTCAAACTGTAGCTGAACTAAAATGTGCTCAGTGAAGCAGAGGATGGAGCTCTACGTCTCCAACCTAATCCAACAGCTGGAAACAGCAGTAGGAGAGTGTCGATTTAGCCCTGTGACGCCTGAAATGTGCTGAAAAAACACACATTCCTCATTGAGACCATGTAGAAATTCCCTGCACCATCAGCGCCTGCTGGAGAGCAGTTAGTGTGTGTGACTGTCTGTGAGCCTGAGAAAGATTGTTACTGACCGTGTGCATTAACCTTTTCTTACAAGCGAGATTAGCAGGTAAATCGGGGCTTTTAACAAGTTTAATCTGCTTTGCTTCAAGACAGGTTACGTTAACAATGTAAAGATTTTTTTAACATGGGGCAGACACAGTGTGTGTTAGTGTGTGTGTTTGTAACAGTTGAATCCATGACCACCCTTAAGCCTTCAGAAGCTGATATAACTTAAATGATCTATGAAGTCTTCCAGTCATGGAATTATTTATTATATAAAACTTTGGTTAAACTTTTTCCTACTGAGCTCCATTTCATGGAGTCTGAGATGCAGCACACTTCTTAGTCAATTTAAAAAGACGTTTAGCTTAGACATATAAACATGTTTTATTAAATCCGCAGAAAAATTAAAAATAGTTTAATAAAAGAGATTATTATAAGGTTCAGTTAGAGGTTAAAAGTCTACCTCTCCAACAGCGACCAGGCGTTCTTTGTGATTATAGAAGTGTGGAAGGGCGACGTCCAGATCCTGTAGAACATATTTCTTTATTAAAGGTGAGGTTTAAAAAAGAAAAAAAAAAAAAACATTAAAAAAATATTTTTCTGGGTATTCAGCAAACACTGATCTACTGGAAATTTCCCACACCATCTTCAGGGTTTACAGAGAATAGTCTGAAAAGGAGAAAACAACCAGTGTGCAGCAGTTCTGTGAGTTTAAATGTGAAGTTAATGACAGTGATCAAAGAAGAATGGCCAGACTGCTGCAACAATAACTCAAACAACCACTTGTTATAGCTAAAGTGTGCAGAAGAGCATCTCTGAGCACACAGACACGCACTCACAGATACTTGAAGCAAATGCGTAGCAGAAGACCACAATGGTGGTCTGATTACATCATTTCCTTAGGGATTAATAAGCATTCTGTTTCTGATGGGCTGCCGCTCCCGTCAGCGAAGAAAGGAAAACTGACGCTAAAATTAAACAACAATAAATTTGAAAAACAGAAAGCCAGAATTTGGTATAAACAACATGAAATGGATCCTGCCTTGTATTAACTGTTCAAGTCTGCGGTGGTGTAATGGTTTGACACGTTGCACCACCTTAGAACAGATTGAACATCCTTTAAACATCACAGCCTTTCTGATTACTGTTGCTGACCATTTCCATCCCTTTATGACCACAGTGTGCCTGTCTGTTGATGGTTGCTTCAAGCTGGTTGGTACATCCTTGTCAAACTAGTTTCTTGAACATGTATGCAAATGTCCTCCACAGTCACCAGATCTCAATCCAACAGAGCACTTTAGGGTGTGGTGCGGTGGAACAGGAGATTCATATCATGGATCTGCAGGCAACAAATCTGTACTGGATGGATAATGCTATCTTGGACCAAAATCTCTGAGGAATACTTCAAGCACCTGGTTGAATTGCTGCCATGAAGAATTAAAGCAGATTTCTACCATAGTAAGCAAACTACATGAATCACTGGATACAGTCTGGATACAGATTTCCTTCCCATTTTTTCATGATTATTTAAGTAAAATATTTAAAAGACAGATGCGCTACACATTGGTTCACTACCTG